ATAGTGTTCCATGATTCATTGTTTGCGTATAACACCCAGTGCTCCATGCAGAACGTGCCCTCTTTAACACCCATCACCAGGCCAACCCTTCCCCCTACCCCCCCCCCCCCTAGAACCCTCAGTTGACTATGGACTCTGAGGAGTATTCTTAATATAAAAAAAGTATCAACTATAGAGCAAGATGTTTAGGTCAAAGAACAGAAAGGAAGTCTATTAAACTAGGTGGGTGTTAGAAATTCTCACCAACAGCCTGCCTTTATTTCCCAATCATATGCTTCCCAGCATGTTCTAAGAGCATTATCGCTAGGAAAAGAATGTTGAGCTCATGTATCTAATTTTATTTCTACCCAAAATAAGTCATCCCTCTTCATCTAAGAAAAAAAAAACCCTAAGTGATTAAAATGAAACAAAAAAAGGACAATTACTATGATTACTGAACCTTTACTGATAAAGTATAAATAAGTGGGAACTTCTTTTGCATGAGAGTGGCATGAACAAGTATGAACTTTATGGAAAAGTCTGACTCTGTGTGAACCTACCATGCTCCCAATCCTTTCTGTGTAGGGCTTCTGGGTGTGCCTTGTCCTATTTTTAATTTCATGTACAAAACTGAAGTTTATTCATTTCTATTGTCAACAGCTTCCTTAAATTCATCTTCATGTAATAATGTATTATCAAATATAGTGAAAGAAATTTTCCACAGTACAATTTCTTAGCTTAAGGAGTTTAAAATAGAGGCTGGAAGATACTGGAATCATACACACTATACTAGCACAAGAAGGTAACATATTGGACATATCATCTAAGTAAATACACACTCCTCTGGGAGTTCCAACATAGGAAAGATTAATATAGACTAAGAGACAGAGAAAGAAAAGTTTTATTTAGAGAAGTGGTGGGATTTGAGCTGGGCTTTAAGGCATGGGCAGAATTCACATAAGCAGGGAGGTAGGGAACATTCTAGATCACAACAACAGATATAAGCGTAGGAATAAGAAAGAGAATGTGTATGGCACAGTTTAGAGGCAGACAATAAAAAAAACAAGTAGTACAAGAGGAGGATTTGTATCTCATCTTTTTTTCCTACCTCCAATATACCCATGAGATAGGACATCCTCCCATCATTAACAGTGGCAGTGGGCAGCAGTCAAAGATTCTTCACAGCTGAGAGTCATGATACTAAAACTGGTTTAGGCAGCAGGGCAAGAAGAGGATGGCAAGAAGAGCACTTATGATCTGATTTCAAAATTTCAGATGTTAGGTGAAAGGGTGGCAATAATGAGAAAGAAAACACTGACAGAAATAGGAAAGTCCAAAACTGAAGCCAATTTTATTTTCAACAAAATGAGACTCATTTTAGATACACTGACTTTGAAATGAGAAACACTAAAATGTCTAACTGGAGATGTGAGATTAAAAAGTAGAGGGCTTGATAAATATCTGGTAGTCACCAGCATATGGAAGATAGGGGGTATGAAAAAGGAAGGAAACAAGGTGGAGGCATGTATCAGTCAATCCCTGACAAAGGCAACAGAAGCAAAGGGTCTGACAGGCAGGAGAGTATCTGAAAGAACAAAATTCAAGAAAGCAGGAACCAATGCAGGAAAGACCAATGGATCTGGCCTTAAGATTATTATTGGTTCTGGGAAGAAAAATTAAAGCACGGGTAAACAGCAGACTAAAGAGGATTACTTGAAAGGATAGGAAGAGGAAAAAATGTCCACATAAAGAAAAAAAGAAAAAGAAAAGAAAAAAACAGATTGGTAGCTAACATGCCAGTAATAACCGAAAAAAACAAAAAACAAAAAAGGTATTTTCAAACTGGTGAGTGCTGTGTGCAGATAGCCCTAAGTGAAGGCAGAAGTCAGAGAGGGAAGAGCTGGAGGATAGATAATAAGGAGATGATAGTTAGGGTATACAATTCTACTACTAATCAGAACGTTTATTCTACTTTTACCTGGTACCAATCACTCGGTGAGGCACTGTAACTGCATTATCTCATTTTATTCCTACAGCAACTCTAAGTATTTGGTATTTTTATTATTCCATATCACTGAATAGAAAGCTAATGTATAGAGTGGTTAAATTACTTACTTAGGATTACAAACCTTGTAAGAGTCAGAACCAGAATCTGAATTCAAATTTGTCAGATACCATGTTGTTCCTACAAACTTCTATGCAACACTGAAGCAAAGCACACAGAAGAGTGAATTCCTAATTTAACTTTCAGAAGAAAAACTTTAATAAATTTTTATATAGGCAGTTTGAGGTAGGAAAGAATGTGGGTCTGCCTTCTCCCCTTAACAAACAAACAAACAAACAAAAGTCCAAACCATATACCTTTGAGATAGAATGGCCTTTTATAGCTTTTTCCCCTTGGATCACTTTGGGCCTAATATCTCCATAGAACTTGAGGAACTAGCAGTATACCTCATATGCGTTAACAGTGATCATTTCAGGAAAAAAAGTTGAAGTTAATTGCTGGTTTGTTTTTCAAGAAAAAAATCTTGAACTGAAAGTTTTCAAGATCGTAGTTCATAGGAATATAGATAGGAAACAAAAATTTAGAAATTAATTATGTAGCAGATTTTCTAACTTACCTATATTAGGACTAAAGACTACAGAGATACAAAACAAAAAAGAACTAGTCTTTTGGCACTTTGGTTGCATCTAAAATTTGGTTTCTGTGCTTGAGATACGAGCTCACATAATTACTACCTATGACTTTATAAATATGGAGAAAAGCAAGAACACTCAAAAAAGCCGAGTTTGGAGTAGGCAGACACTCACTAATAGGTCAAAATTCCCTTACTTTTCTCCTGATGTCATCATTATGGCATTTCTCAATAGCACCTACATTAGAAAGTGGGGTCAGAAAGCACTGAAGTTCTTTGATTTTGCTATTAATTACCAGTAAACTGCCTTTTGCCAGAGAAATTAGAAAATAAAGCACTAGGACTTAGAGTTACTTACAGATTTTAATTATCCATGTTATTCCTTAGTCTGTGCCTCATTACCAATGGGTAAATCAGAGTTAATCAATAGGTAATGAAATCTACTTATTACCAAGTGCTTCAGAAAACTGAGAATAATCACTAAAATGAAAAGTGTTAATTACATGTAAATGTTACTTATCCATGTCAGTCTAAGTATCTCATTATCAAGTATAACACAGAGATACCTGTATTGGGGTGGAGTGAGTCATGAATCTACTAACACAAAGCTTTAATCCAATGTTATCTTTTCAACAAACTTATGTTCAAACATTATGAATTGGTCTGTACTCTGCATCCTCCAAGATGCCTTTTATTTACAGCACACAATGCAGAAAAATTAAATAGATTCCCTCTGCTAATTATACATTCTGGATTTAGCAAAGCTTAAGATTTAACATATACCTTACCATCACAACTAAGTGAAAAAGGACAAAAAAAAAATCATGAAGAAATCTTGACTGATAAAAAACTTCTACAATTGTAAGAAATCAAATATTCAAGGATAGCCCATTTAGCCTGAAAGAACAATATAAATTTCAGTATTGTTCTAAACCAGCCTTTTAAATTCACATTCTCAAAAGATGCAGTAGGGAAAAACCAAAAGGTAAATGTACATAAATAACAAAATACTGTCCATTGCAAAAACCTTCATACTTTAAAACACTATCTGGCTAAATTTAGAAGCTATCCAGTATTATATCAGTAACTATATCTATCTCTTCAGATTGAGAAAACTTCTATAGATTATTTTATCTTCCATTCTTAAGCTATTTTCAGCAATAATTACTGAAATTATGTCTCTTTTCATTTCCTAAGAAGCTCAAAAACTGCACAAAAATAATGTAACTGAGGTAACCACCCCCCATTTCACTACCACAAAGGGAAATATATTAGTGATGATCTCTTGACTTTTCCATCACCTTTAGGAAAATTCCAGTATATATAATAAATGTAGTAATCTAATAAAATAGCCAACTTGTAACAAGAAGTCTCTGGCTTCTTCCTCAATCTCTCAGTAAATCATTCTCTCCACCCAGGCACAGTACATCTCAGACAATCTCTGGTGTATGTCCTACATCAAAACAAAACAATGGATCTACCAATTTAGAGCTTTCATTCATTTAAAACTATCAGCACAAGCAAGGAAATCGAACATAGAAGTAACATGTTTTAGAAGGCCCATCCATATGCTTTTACTGGCAACTGACAACAGTGCTTCTACATCCAACCTCCTGTATGTGCTGGTATAACATTCAGGAAACAGTGCCCCAATAACATGGTCACATGCATTATTTACTGCTCTAAATGCAACACTGCTCGATTTTCTATATTTTTAATACGTGAAATACTCCTTTTTATATCATTTCTCAATCAGAAACTGAAGTTTTATTACCTTTTCTATTTGTAAAATGAAGGTACTTAATGTAGCACTTAGTGAAAATGAATTAAATCTCATTATGCTAAAGTTTAAGATATCCTGGCTACTAAGCAACTTACAAAATGCTATTTTAAATTGTTTCATATCATTTCCCATCCTATCAGTATTATAGTATTATGAGAAACAGCCCTTTAAAAACACTAGGTCTCCTTAGCTAACAAAATTTCACATTCGTAAAAAGCAATTTGTGTTTTGATGATGATGATGATGATGGTGATGATGATCTCACTCATTTAATTTTACTGGTGTAATAATATTTACATCGTAACTCATTCAAACTTACCTTTAATGATATAATATGTAGGTAAATATTATCTTAAAAATACTTTCAAAACTAGAAATTTATGCTAAAAATACAGCTTTCTCATTGCAGTATAATCTTTGCAGGCCAGAATTCAGAGAAAAACTGATATTTGCAAAAGGCAAATATTTATATCACATAAATAACAGGTATTCCCTTGACCTACTCATCAATACCACAACCATTACATGGTAAATGATCCTATAGATTTAAAATGAATCCTCCTAAATCAGAAATAGAATACTGAATTTTACAGTTCACTTACCTGAACCTCGCTTGTCCTCTGTTTAATAGTATCTTCTTTCTCCTTGAGGTCCTGTTCCACATTATTCTTTTCCCTAGAAGACCAGCAAACAATGCAAGAATATTTGAGAACATCAGCTACAGCCGGTATGGTTATCCATCCTCCTAACCCTGAATCGTTTTTTAAATACATAGTGAAACATTCAATTTTTAAGTGAAGGGCAGAGTTTCCACCCTCTTTTAATTATTTATGGAATAGAAATCAATATAAGCTGTTTGTAAAAAAAAAAATTGCTTTCTCACTAAAATGTGGTGAAAAGAGAATAGATTAAAAAAGGAAGAGGAGAAAAATAATCAATGAAACACTCAGGTTGCACTGATCTCACTGTTGCTATGGAAATGATGTCCAATGAAAATTGCTGGTGAAAAAAAGGAGGGGTTGCATCAGCTCTGTAAGCTTAACCCTTAAGTACCATGTCAAATCAAATGAAAATGGCTAACAGAAATAGTCAACAATATTAAGGAAAAGGACATTTACTGAAGTGTTAATTTCCCCTTAAATCACTGGTGTGTACCACTTTTAGAATGAAACAACATAGAAGAAATGGATAAGACTGTCAATACACAGTCCGTTTGCTCCATCAAATACCGCTCTGCTCAAAAAAACTATTTTAGGACCACTTATCAATTCCAGTTGATCAAATACATAAAACAATGTATACTAAGTAAAAAAAGAATTGCATTAGCATTTATCTCTTTCTATACTCTTCAGATCAAACATTCTAGGATCCACTTGTAGGCTGAGATACCATTATCTAAATTCTTACATGCTTCCATCAGAGCTAGATTCCTAATGAATGAGTCCTAAGCAACCTTAGATTCAGAATTACAATATAAAGCTATTTCTTTTGATGTAATAAATTTAACTGTTTGTACTGAAATCACAAACACACACACACACTGGCTTGCTCTCTTCATTTTTCTTTTCTACAAAATGAGAGAAAAATCCATAGAACTCTGCAGCAATACATTTTTGGGTGGGGGTAAAGGTGAAAGAAGGTAACATGAAGAAGGGGGGATGGCATTCAAGAAGTCCTCCAGACTAGTAGAGTTTCTCCTTAGAGCTTCAAGACTGTTATTTCAGTTTCATCCCAGACATCACCCAAACAGAAGCTCAGGTTCCATTAAGCTGTAGCATAAAGGCAAGTGGGAAAATTATACCAGAGGAGATACTTAGGGGACAACTTAACGCTGTATTTTTATTTCTCGACCCTTTCTGAGGTGATATTTTAAATGCAGACAAAAATCAAATGTTTTGGATATGTAGGCACAATGTTCTTAAGATTTGTAAGGAAAAAAAAAAAAGCCCAAGAATAAAAGCTATTTGTATACTGTTACTTTTAAACACTTGAGATGGCCAAGGAGCTCACTAACCATTTGTCAGCTGGGTCACAATGTGGGTCGTGATGTCGCAGAGATTTTAAACAGTCCCTTACCATGAGAATCATTGTTGCAGCCCATTCCTCCCATACCTCAATCTACTTATTATGCAAAGGTCATCCCCCACTTCCCTTATAAAATCAGGTAAAATCAAAAAATAGAAATCACAGGAACAAAAATCTAAATATACCACACAAATTCTGCAAGCTCAATCTTGGAAATTTTTCCTTTCCTCAAGTGAGCAGAAGAGTGTTTTCATTCCTGCTGCATGTCAGAGATAAGTCACATGAAAAACTAGCCCCCTTCCCCAACCCCAAATTCTCAGAGGCATTCCACACAGGGTGAGTATCAATTTCTGACAGCAGCTAATAACAAAAATAGAAAACATCACACAGTATCACAGATCAGCACTGCATACACTAATGTGCATGTTTGTATTCAATCCTTTCTGCTTCTCTGTTAACTGCTGTTACTGACAGTGTCTGCTCAAAGATCAAGTGTGCAGGCAGGAAAACAGGGCTGCAAGAAAGCAGTGAGCTGACAACGCAGCCAAGACAGAAGAATAAGAGAGCTAAAAAAAAAAGGAAGCTTGCTTGGTGAAAATGGAAAACAGATTACAAAGGACTGTCAGCTCTAACGAGCAAATACAGTCTGTGTTTTGGTAAAATGGAGGAAGCTTAGAAGTACAGATTCCTTTTCATAATTTTGGGTGTGGGAGTGAGGGTAGCAGTAGTGATATCTCCAAACATATCCCAAAGACCATTTCCAACTAAACAAAATATGGGAGTGTCAGGCATTAATTCTCATAGTACTGAGATCAATTAAATTTAACTTTTGATCCACTTTTATCTAGTAAAATTCTGGCCTCATAATAATTCCTTTATTATCAAAACCAAGTAGTATAAGAGAAAATGTGTAAATGTGTAAATTACTAAAGAGAAAATGTGTAAAAAAAATCAGTTATATTACCTTCTATTAAAACCATCACAATTGAAAATCTGTCCTATAAATCAGACTAAAAATCAAATTATTTTCTCATTAACTTAGATTATAATTTCAGGGATGTCAAATTGTTATTCTGTGATAGTCCATTGACTCTTTTTCTTTTCTGTTCTTTTCTTTTTAAAGATTTATTTATTTATTTGAGAGAGAGAATGAGAGAGATAGAGAGCACGAGAGGGAAGAGGGTCAGAGGGAGAAGCAGACTCCCTGCCGAGCAGGGAGCCCAATGTGGGACTCGATCCTGGGACTCCAGGATCATGACCTGAGCCGAAGGCAGTCGCTTAACCAACTGAGCCACCCAGGAGCCCTCTTTTTTTACTTAAATACAATTAGCCAACATATAATACATCATTAGTTTCAGATGTAGAGTCCATAGACTCTTAACCTCTATAGCTATCCTTCTAATTTTGGGCAAATAAGAATACCTAAATACATTTAGGTGCATGAAGATGCTTAGGTGCAAGAGAACGGGACCTGGGTCATATTTCTTACATTCTCCTTTCTTTCAAATAACATATATTTTTCTACAGGTGATGGATGCATAACTATACAAAGCATGCTGTTTAACATTAATAATTCAAAAACTTGGTTCTTTTTTTTTTTTAAAGATTTTATTTATTTATTCGACAGAGAGAGACACAACGAGAGAGGGAACACAAACAGGGGGAGTGGGAGAGGGAGAAGCAGGCTTCCTGCAGAGCAGGGACCCCGATGCAGGGCTTGATCCCAGGACCCTGGGATCATGACCCGAGCTGAAGGCAGATGCTTAACAGACTGAGCCACCCAGGCACCCCTCAAAAACTTAATTCTTTTCAAGATTCTGTGCCACAATAAAAAATATTTATTTGTAGTTTTCCAAGGAGCCCACCAATACATATGGGTAAAACAGATTTAAGATATATTTCAAAAATAGGTGTGTGAGCATTTTGCCCAAAGCACTACTCATCTTGGATGACAGGAAAGCTATTGCCTTCAGCTTAGAAACTTCCAGAAGGGAAAAGAAAAGATCACACATACCTTCTATCTTAGACTATCTCTGTGACCCTATTCACTCCCAAGATTCTGACACATCCTAAAAAACCCACAAATACCAATGCTTTAAATAAAGAAAGGCCGGGGATAAGGCTCCCTAGTTTCCAAAAGCTGCTGGTTTTGATTCGGTGGAACCTAGTATGTAAACCAGCAAGAAAAGCAAAACCCAAGCTAGGCTTTCAGAAGCCTAAAGTTGGTAACTGCATAAACCTACTATGAAGTAGTCAAAGCTATTCACAAGGACAGTCAGGCTCAGGGCCCCAAGTCCACAAAGTTCACTTTCATTTCCCCAGGCTCTGTTTATGGGAAGGAGGGAGTGAGCGATCTGTCTTAATTTTGATATAATACCAACATTGTCAGAGAAAAAGGTTTAAGTCACCTTCAAAGCCCTTCCCAGAAACATAGTTTTAGTTTTTTTTTCTGAATATAAATATCCATTATTTCCCAAACAGCAATAAAAAGAAAAACAAGTTAGAAACCAAAAACCAGTTAGTTAGAAACTCATGAAGAGGGACGCCTGGGTGGCCCAGTCAGTTAAGCATCTGCCTTTGGCTTAGGTTATGATCCCAGGCTCCTGGGATTGAATCCCGTATCAGGCTCCTTGCTCAGCAGGGAGCCTACTTCTCCCTCTGCCTGCCATTCCCCCTGCTTGTGCTCTCTCTCTCCGACAAATAAATAAATAAATGAAATCTTAAAAAGAAAAAAAGAAACTCATAAAGGTATATTTTTCAACCCTGAAACTTATTGATAAAAATCTTTTGGGGCACATTTTGGGATCTTATCATTAAGTAGCTTAACTGCCAAAATCTCTCTATCAAGCAAACACAGAAAAGCAAGCTATTCTCATTACTCGTTACTATTCTCATTACTACAATAGTCTTTTTTTTTTTTAAGATTTTATTTATTTATTTGACAGAGAGACACAGCAAGAGAGGGAACACAAGCAGGGGGAGTGGGAGAGGGAGAAGCAGGCTTCCCGCGGAGCAGGGAGCCCAATGCAGGGCTCGATCCCAGGACCCATGACCGGAGCTGAAGGCAGATGCTTAAGGACTGAGCCACCCAGGCGCCCCACTACGACAGTCTTTAGTAAAGCATCTAGGTCTTACAGAGAACAAGAAAATGGGACTAAAAACTGGAGACAGATTCTAATCTGGCTCAGCCATGAAACAGTTGTTTTTTTTTTTACTCTGATGATCACATAACTTTCAGAGCCTCAGTCTTAATTTTCATTATGCAGATGCTAATATCTCTACCATCTTAAGATTTGCAAGGTAAAATGTACAAGATGTCATGTAATTAGGAAAAAAGCAGGCTTTGAGCCTATGCTGTGCTTGCTTTTTGCTGATAACATTAACATTACTTATAATTTTAAATAACACTGATGGAGTTTTAAATTGTTAAAAAGAATTATGGGTTGCAATAAAATTTAGAATACATTGATCTAATGCATAGAATATATAATGTAATCACTGAAATTTCTGCCCCCAAATCTTGCTTAATATTCAAAAAACTATTCTCTACCTTTAGAAACTCATTATATGGTTTTCAAAGCATAAGATTCGGTGTAAAATAGCCCAGAATTCAAATACTGACTCCATCACAGGGCATCTTACTTAAAGCA